CATAACTGAAAAAATGCCCATCTTACAGTTTTCATAACATTTTCTGTTTTCATGGAATTGTACAAAATTGTATGATCAGCTTTTTTTTCAAATAAGCATTTTGGTCAACCTGGGTTTGTATGCTGTTAATTGCTTAGATTAATATTTTAATTCATTTTTTTTAGTAAAACGGTTAATTTTGAATAAATCTATGCTTTTCTCAAAGTTAGCTCATGAAAAATTGATATTTTCTCGCCCTTAATTAATTTTAGAGTGGAAATTGTACGGTTAATCAAAAAACTGAATCACTTTAGTAAAAAAACATTATTCTCGTTTTTTTCAATTAGCGTGGTTACGTAACCGAATAAAAGCAACCGCAAATCTATTGATCTGGTGATAAATTGTTAAAATCTATAACCCTGCAGTCTGTAAAAAGTCTTCAACTAAGCAAATACATTTAGCCGAATTTCTTCAACGGATTTGCTTAATGATGGGAGAACCAGTACCAATTGTGTGTTAGTTTGCATCATTAGTTTCACCACAATATTCTTATCAATTCTTTTGAACTCAGCGATAAAGTTTTGAAACTAAACAACCTCGCGGTCTACTAAGCAAGCGATTAAAATTATAATCTGATAGTCTGAAAATCCTCACAATTTCTGCCCTGTTTTCAAAACTCAGTCTAACTGGAGTTATATTTTAAATTGTATTCCGAGCTTTTGCATAGCCTGAAATTCTGATTAATTGGGATTCTCTCCAATAGAAATGTTGAAGCTTTTTCTCCTAATTGCCGCAATAAGCATAAGTTATCAAAAAAGAGGACCTCTATGGAAAATTGAAAATAAGTCGGACTTGGATGACATTTTGTTCAAAAACATATCCTCTCATGCCATCAAATACATGATGCTGGCCGCAAACCATTCAATTCAAGCGATAGAAAAACTTGGTCTGCTAAGTGATGCTCTCGAAACTAGAATGAAGGAAACAGAAGAGCTAATTGATGAAGAAAATCGAGCTCAGGTTTGTTAATTTCAATAGTTTGATTGTTCGTTTTTTCACTGACAACAGTTTTATAAGCGGATTTTTTTTAATGTAGCTTTTAACGTTTTATTTTAAACTATTCTAATGTAGAAAAACTGTTCAAGAACCAACTGAAAAAAAATCAGGAACGTTTATGAAAATCCTGGGAAATCCTGGAAATCGCAAATTGAAATAGCTACATATATAGGCTCTGGGTAAACTATCCAAACTAATTCTTCTCTAAAGCTATGTGAAAATTAATTACAATTTCAATTATTATCAGAGTTGTGATATATATTCTAAAAATTTGGTTTTTGGCAGATCATCTTACATGGATTTTTATTGATACTATTCGATAAATTGATTTTCGTTTTTTGAGACTCAATCTTGTATCGAAGTTGACTTTGATGTCTTAGAGCGATAAATTTTCACACATTTAGGTTTTTTTAAAGGTACGTGCAAGTTTGCCTGGTTTGACCTCCATAGACCAAAAATGCTAGTCATACAATTCCATAAACCACAAGTCTATGAAAAAATACTAGTCATACAAATTTCATACATTTTTTTAGAATAATGTCATCAAAGTTTCAAAGAACTTTTTTCTTGTTTTGGCATAAAATTTGGGGTATCGTACTAAAAACCGAGGCGGACTTAGGGGGGGGGGGGTGCGGACGCTTTTTCTTTTCAGGGATTCGAACCCCGGCCGACCCAAAAGGTCCCCACTTTGTACTATTTTGAGATATCCATTTTTGATGGCGGACCCTAAAGTTTTTCTAAAGGCGCCAATATAAACTAATTTTGAGGGGGAAGCGCGCGCCGAAAAAGCGCGATTTTTAGGTTAAAATTTTCCAAAAAGTGCCTAAAAACGCTTTTTTGACCTGTTTTTCAAAGTTTAACCTGCGGCGCAGAAACTTAGAGTTTTTGGTCAAAACACAGTCTTTGTAGTGCTTTGGGAGAGCTCAGAAAATCAATTTGGTCGACTTAAAAAAGGGCCGCACCCCCCACCCTCGAAAAAATCCTAGATATGCCCCTGCTAAATATAAAAGAAAAAATTTTTGTCAACAAAAATTGCTAATCATACAACTTCCATGTATGAAAATTGTATGACTAGTATTTTTTTGATGGTGGGACAAGTATATTTGATATTGCCCCAAATTTTTTTTGTTTTTTTTTTAAATTTAATTTTCTGTGTGTATAACGTAGTCCTGGATGCACAAAAATTGGAATTTTCCGTTTCTCTGGATGAATTTTGTCAAAAAAGCTAAGCACTCCTCTTTCTTTTGTATGGCATGTTTATGTATGCCTTGACTATTACTTGACTAAAATTAGGTAATTGTTAATGACGTGAGGTTGTGTATGATTATTGTAAGCGTGCTCATGTGCAAAAATATGTATTATGCAGTCAGATAATGTGCAAATTATAGAAACGGTGTTTTGCATTTTGATGAGTTTTCTGGTAGAATTAGTAGTAAAATTCTTGTTATAGAGGTTAAATTTTTAGGAGGAGATGGCGAAGCAGTGTTTAGCTGAAAAGATGGTGCAGCAGTCTTGCTTTATGTGCTACCAAGAGAAGTGCTTGGAAATTCTCCAAAACTGCGAATCTGGTAAGTTTTCTAAGGCAAATTGTGAAAATTTACCACAAAACTTATCAGAGCTTTCAACATCAAACTGGCTGACATAAAAAATCGACAAAGTTCCTCTGTCCCTCGCAAAACACTTCAATCCAATCCTTGAGGTAACGCCATCAAAAAGTCGACGTGGCACACACACACACACACACACACAAATACACCTACCGATCCCTTTGCCAGTAAAATACTATCAAACATAAAGATAGGAGAAGCGAACGTTTATTTTCTTTCAAGTTTTCAATAGAAACATTGTGGCCAGAAGCTGCAAATAAATTTTTTAAGATGTTTAAGTAGTTCCATGGTCAACAGCTCTTGCGATTAAATCATCCCAGTCTTTAAATTTTAGAGAAGGACGATCTCACGGCAGGTGCCTATAAAACCATGGGAAAACATGAGCCATTCAACAGAAAAAAGTCATTTGACATTGGGGCGATGGTCTTAAGTGTCACGGAAACTGTCACGAGCACTGATAAACAGAAAACAACAATTCTGGAGCTGGAAAAATTCGTGGAAGAAGATCCAGTAATCACTTATTTCAATAATCTCTATAAAGAGCTAATGCAAGGTTATTATTTATTTTTGTCTTATGGAAACTGATGATCCGTCCGCCTACAGAAGAAAGCCTCATTTGTAATGAAAAAACAATCTGGTGTTTTACGAACCAAAAGTTGTCAAAAGATCAAGTGCGCATGCTAGTTTATATTTTGATTGATAGTTCAAAACCCTAAATTGTACCACGATTATCTTACAAGCTACTTTTTTCCATTCTTTAGTTATTTGAAAAAAAAAATTTTTAAATTTTTTTAGAGGAAACTGAATGGATTAAACAAGGGATCACTGAAGACGACGTCGATTACAGGAATGATGTTAATTTTGACCCGCGAGATATTTTTGATTACGACTACCAATATGAAGTATATGAGGAGTCTTTTGAGTCAGGTAAGACCTGCACCTACCTGAATGCATGAAATAAGATAGGGAAACCTTTTCTGGACATAGCATTACAACAATCCGAACTACCAAATTCTGGCCCGTACTTCCAACAAATCATAAGCCCCGCAAAAATCAAATTTACTGAGTCACGGACAATCGTTTTCCAAATAGTCTTGGTAGGAGCTGTAATGTTGGGTAATTGAACGAGTTATGCTGTAATCAATTAATCAAAAAAATTTTTTCAAAACTTGAAAAAAAAAAGACTAACTGCGGTAAAAAAAAAAGTGATTCAATGTTCCGCTCAAAAAATTTTAATTACGTGCTTTGCTTCTGATTTGTTTGCTATACTGTCTTTCGTAATTGATTCAATCTCTTGTTAAAATCGTCTCCCCCGTCTCCTTCGAATTCACCGAGAGATGTTTTAAACGCCGACCACA